TCCCTCCAAAATACACTCTAGAGACGGTTTGTGGGAGGTAAATTCAGCTTTTGCTTATCTGGAAATTGTTTAAACCCTTCTTCAAATGTAAATGATAACCTTGCCAGATAAAGTACTCTTGGTTCAAGGCCCTTCTGCTTTATTGCATTAAATACATCATGCCACTCCCTTCTGGCCTGTAAGGTTTCTGCTGAGAAGTCTGATGACAGCCTGATGGGCTTTCCTTTCTATGTGATCTTATTCCTCTCTCTGTCTGCTTTTAATAGTCTTTCCTTATCCTTGATCTTTGTAATTTTAATTACTGTATGTCTTGGTGTTGTCTTCCTTGGGTCCCTTGTGTTGGGAGATCTGTGCACCTCCATGGCCTGAGAGACTATCTCCTTCCCCAGACTGGGAAAGTTTTCAGCAATTACCTCCTCAAAGACACTTTCTATCCCTTTTTCTCTCTCTTCTTTTTCTGGTACTCCTATAATGCGAATATTGTTCCGTTTGGATTGGTCACATAGTTCTCTCAATATTCTTTCATTCTTAGAGATCCTTTTTTCTCTCTGTGCCTCAGCTTCTTTGTATTCCTCTTCTCTAATTTCTATTTCATTTTTCATCTCCTCCACCATATCCATATTAGAGTAATGCTGGCCATTACTCCATTGTATATTTCATTTCTGATACTGTGTTCCATAATGATTGGATCTCCAACTGGAATTCATTCCTGAGTTCTTGAATATATTTCTGTACCTCCATGAGCATGTTTACGATTTTTATGTTTAGATATCTTTCAGGAAGATTCATGAGATTGATTTCATTTGACTCTTTCTCTGGTGTATTCATAATTTTGCTTTGAACCAGGTTCCTTTGACATTTCATATTTGTATATGGCGCCCTCTAGTACCCAGAAGCTCTACTCTGGAGCTACTCAGCCCCTGGAGCAATGTCAGGGTCACGGGGGAGCAGTGTTGGTGCCTGAGGGGAGGAAAGAGCTGTTTCCTGCTTTCTGGCTGGTATGCCTGTCTCCAATGCCAGAACCAGTGGGCCAAGCACACAGGTATCAGCCTCTATGCTTTGAGTTTGTAGCTGCTGTAGCCAGGGCTTCCCTCTGGCTGGCCTAACACCAGGGTAGGGTTTGCTGATTTGTAAGCCAGGTGGGGCTGGCTGGGAGGAAGGCCCAGCAGGTTATGTATCAGAGGGGGTCCTCGGAGCTGCATAGCCAGCCAGGGGGCTGGAGTGCCTGAAGATCATGCAAGTTCCCAACCTGCTGGGCAGAGTGCACCCAGACAATTTTGTCTACCTGCCCTTTCTCCTGAGCAGTAAGCTCTGTGTAATCCTTTCCCCTTTAGCAGCCCTCTTGCTGTTGGGAAATCTCTCAGATTGCCCACTTTTCTTTTGTCCCAGAGCAACTGGGTATGGATTCCTATTTTCTACAAGTGGCTGGAATCTCAGTCTCTCCAGGTATTCTGCCTGTCTTAGCTTTCCAAGCCCTCTAATCAGAAGAGCACCATGAAATGTAGGTTTGTGCTCCCAGAGCAAATCTCCAGAGCTAGGTGTTCAGCAGTTCCAGCCCTCCACTCCCTCCTTGCTCCATTTCTCTTCTTCCCACCAGTGAGCTGGGGTGAGGGAAGGGCTTGGGTCCCGCCAGACCACAGCTTTGGTATGTTACCCTGTTCCGTGAGGTTTATTCTTTTCTCCAGGTGTATGCAGTCTGGCACAGCCCTCTTTCCTGTTGCTCTTTAAGGATTAGTTGTATTAATTATATTTTCATATTATATGTGGTTTTAGGAGGAATTCTCTGTCTCACCTCTCATGCCGCCATCTTTAATCCGATCTTTTTCAAAGAAAGATTCTGTATTATTCTTTCAACTTTTCTATAGGTTGTAAAGTTTTCAAAATAAATGTTAAGGGGCAAAGTATCTTGTTTGAACTACTGTAATTTAAGAGGTCAGTAGACTTCCAAAACTTCAGGTAGAGACTTGGAGAAACTAATCCTCACTGGGCACTTAGTATGCACCAGATGCTCTTCACATCTGTGATTTCAGTCAACCCTCAGAGCAACCCTCTAGGGTAACTATTATTACTACCACTTTACAGAGGGCCACACTGAGCTTCAGAGGGGTAGACTAACAAGTCCAACAGTGACTGAGTGCAGGAATCCAAACCAAAGTCTGTCAGAATACAAGGCCATGCTCTTCCACTCCACAATGTATTCACTGCACTCTTTTTCCTTCCCCGCTCCTGTGTTTTATCAATCCAAAATTTACTATACCCAGTGAACCTGAGCAGATTTGAAATTTATGTTCTATAATAACATTCAATAACCATTAAACAGTCCAATTGAAACATGCCTCTGATCTTCACTGAAGACAGAAAGGCTGGTAGAAAGTATAAAAATAGGGATAACATTTCCCATTCCCTTTGGCCATAACATGTATAGACTAGAAGGGACTTTGATAACAGATTAACCATGGAGAACAGAATAATGTGGGGAAAACAGACCAAGGATTTGAAGCAATAAATGTAATTCCAACAGACGCTCTTCTAAACTAGAAAGAAATTGTAAAAATGCAAGTTTGTCACTGAAATCTTAAAGTGTTCCTTTAAATTTCAAGAAACTTACTTCAGAACATATATAAATACAACTTTAGAGGACTGGTGGTGAACACATGAAAACTCATCCCCCAAAAGACATTATAACAGGGCCTTGAAGAAAGGCCTAGAAAAAGGGTTTAGATCATTTTCAAGTGAAAAACTGGTTTACTGAATGGAATAACACACAATGTCAGGCACTGCTCTAAAATAAGCTAATTCATTCAGTTTTCAGAGCAACCCTATGAGACACTCTAGTATTACTCCAATTTTATAGATGGAGGAACTAAGACTAAAGAAACAACTTAGCCAAGGTCACACAACTAATAAGCAGTGAGGCTAGTATTCTAAACCAGTACAAATGGCTTCAGAGCCCATACTTTCAACCACTGCTGTACACTACCTCTCAAAGGAAGAAAAGGTTCATTATTGACTCTTAATCTTTCTGAAAGCCTGATGCCACAAGGCCAACTAACAATTGTTCTATGAGACAGAATACTGGAAGCCCCACAGGCATAACATTTTCTCACACAGAAACGAGGTTTGGGGGAATCCAAACAGTCTTTTCAATCACTGCTTTAGAGAAATGGGAAACCAACTTGATGAGGACTTGAAATGACAAGCAACTGCTAGAGTCGGTTCACTTAAAAAGTGTTCTTTACAGCTTACTGTTAGACAATAAGTGACAGAACTGGGCATGAAGAGTTGGAGTTTTCCCCAGGCTGCCAGTATTCTGATGCAATCCATCTCTGCCACTTTGGAAAGGAGGGCAAAGGAAACCAAACAAGTGCTGGCCAAGCCCCCTTAACGGGCCTTAGATCCTTTTCACATGCAGAGGACAATTTCCAGAACCAGAAGAATCCTTGGGGACTACAGTTGTCCCAAATGACAAGATTTTTATAATCTTCACAACACTGGCAAATTAAATGTCCTAAAGCACCCTTTTAATTCCAGGCTGTGGGCATTCCTAACATGCAACAGCTCAGAGGAGCCCCAAATCTGAGGAGCCTCAGGATCTCAGTAAGCTAAGAGGGGTAAGGCAAGAAAGGAGGCCTCTTGTCTCAAGACACTCCCCACACTCCAGAGTCTGACTGTGAGGTGGCCAGAATCAGTCCTACTTATTTCCCATGTTTTATAATCCAGACATCTTTCTGAATCGTTGGCTCCACTAACAGAAGCTGGTCTGGTGAACACACAACTCCTCTAAATCCAAGTCCTGTAACAGACTTACCGTGACCGTGAAGAACAAAACAGTAAGAAACACCAAGCAGTGCTCCGCCTGGGAAGGAAGTGAAATGCCAGTAGGCTTCTGAAGAGTCGCAGGTGTTTCATGGAAGTGAAATGTACAATGAGGTCCAGGTTGAAACCATTTTCTTCTTCTTCTGTCTAATCCTAAATTTAAATATGTGTGGCTAACTAGTGGAGTCACACACATCTGGATTCAAATCCAGACTCACTCGGGCACATGATATGGGACATGTTTCAGACCCTTCTTTTTCACTTCTGTGAAACAGCAGTTAATAGCCTGTATTTCATGATTGTAATTAGCATTAAACGAGATAATAACTGTAATTTGTCTTCCGCATGACAGCACCCAATCAGTAACTGGAAGGTACCCCTTACCCCCATCCTCCTCACCCCAACCCACCCGACCTCTGGCCTACAAACCCCTTCAGAGGCCTCATCCACTGCTTCCTGACAGCAGACGTACAGACATCAGCGCTGATCCTCGTAGTCCCCTTCCTGGACTGGGATTTGGCTGAATCTGTGGCTAAAAAGCTAGAGCGGAGCTCTTGGCCTGAAAACCAAACTCTGGGAAGCAGGGCCCGATGCTCAGCCAAAAGCTTGGTGGCGCCTGTTGTTTACACTGAGTCCCCTTCCTACCAAAGCACTGAGGATCCGAGTACATTTCCGACCCTCCACCTTGGCAGGGGAAGCGCAAGGGTGACTAAAGATGAAAAGGCGGGCCGCGGGGCAAGGCCGGGAGACCGAGGCTGGGGACAAGTGGGGGCCCTGGGGACGGGCCCCTCCCGAGAGACAGCAGCCGGGAGCCACCGAGCCTCTCGCCCGTCTCCTCACGCAGGAGCCCTCGCAGCTGCAGCACGGGGGCTTCTCAAGGGTCGCGACGCCGGCCCGGCCCAGAAGTGGGACCCGCGGGGCGGGCAGGCGGGAAGCGGGGTCCCGGCTCGGGAATGTGGTCACTGGGGGGTCACCGGGGGAGGGGCCGGGCGGCGAGAACCTGCGGAGGGGCGGGGCTCGGGAGGGGCCAAGAGGTCGGGACCCCGCCTTCCCAGGCCCAGGGTCCCCACCAGGCTCCCAGCCTCACGCCGAGCGCCCCCACAACCGGGCATCCCCGCCACCGCGGTGGGGCAGTCCCACTCCCCTTACCTGGCTCGGCTGCTCTGCCTGCTCCGAGGACGCCATCTTTCCCAGGCCTGACTAATCTATTGTCGCTGGCCGAGGCTTCTCCCAAGCGCCCTCGCTCGCCCTCTCCCGCCCAGACTAAAGTAGCCGAAACTGGGCCTGTCGATGGGGGAGCCTCTCGGGGAGGGGCGGGGAACTACTACTGCCTTGTCTTTCCAGAAAGATCTGAAGTCTGTCGTTTTTTGAATTCTTTAATGCGTATTATTCTTACTGAATTTAATCTCTGCCCATCCCCACAGTGCCTTGGGCACATGCAGTGACTCGATTTAATCAATGAATGGATGTAATCAATTTAATATAATGAATATTTAATCAATGAATGAATGAGAAGAAATTTGGAAATTGTTTCAGTTCAGGGCCGTTTGTTGAATGTCTATTATTCTCCAGGCACTTTGGTAGGCACTAGAAATAAAAAGATCCAAGACAACCCCTGCTCCTAATTTAGGACGCGCGCGCGCGCGCGCACACACACACACACACACACACACACACACACAGCATCTTGGACGTATGCGAGTCTATTAAGAGAACATAGAAACGAGGTCTTTTTCGAGAGGAGGGGGTTCTGCAAACCGTTATTACTGTATATCGGTTGAGCTGTTAGATTCTAAGTTAAATGTGAAAAGACACAAAAAGGTTACATACATTAGAACTATCAGTTCATAATGTAGTTGTGTTTTGATCATGCAATATTCAAAACGGTTGCCTCAATTAACATTTCCTACCACTTTTAAATTAAACGCCTACTCTTTTCTTATGAGACAATATTTGATTTCCTTTCATAAACACAGTATGAAGCTGACCCTGAATGAATATGGGCTGACAATTATTTCTTGCTTACAAAAAATGCCCCTCCCCTTTCAGAGAAGAAGCTCTTTGAATTTTTTGTTATTAATATTTTAATCTTAAATGTTCGTTTTTCACTGTGGAAGAGGAACACAGACTTTTCCGTAGGTAGTCGTATTAGAATAAGGACAAATACATTGTCAGGCAGCATCTGGACAACGTCAAACAGTGATGTAGTTCGCATTTCTCCTTTACTCGCTGTCTTTGGGACCTTAATGTTTAATCTAGTTACTAAAGCATTTCGTTCCAAGGTCCCAACCCAATTTGCACAGCGGAAGCAGGGAATCGAACAAGTGGAAATGTGTGAGCATCTTACGCTTCTCTGTCACGTTTCCAGCAAGACTGAAAACTACTCTCATCAATTTTTTAAAACTGGCTTTCTTCAAAACAACCTGAAGGTTAGGACATCTTACAGATCTTTTCAGGTTGAAATGGGAAAACAAATTAACACAGTACAAAGACAGACTGTTAAAGTATTAATATTATGCATCTATATATACAAATAGGAGTGCTCTAAAAATCCAGGTAGTATACATGCGTGTCCTTCATTAGGCAGAATAAATCCGTATTGCCCTCATTTTGAACGCGCAGTTACAACTCCTGAATATAAGGCAGAAAAAAACCTCCTGGGCTGAATTGTCCAACGCAACCAGGTCGTCTTTGAACTCAATAAGACTACAATTCCCAGCATGCTCAGAAGGGACACGTGACTATGAACAACTAAAACGACATCTCCCGGCGTGCCTCGGTTCCCACGCGTGATTTGCTACAGAGAGAACTACATCTCCCGGCATGTCGCTGGGGAGGTTGGGTGCCCGCTCTAAGCCTGCCCGGCTTCCTGGAGCTAGTCAGGTGCCACCCCGAAGAGGATGGAGATGGCCGGGAGCGCCAGAGCTCCGGAACCCAGCGAGATCCGGGCTCTAAAGCCGTGTCTACTGCGCCGCAATGACAGCCGCGAGCAGCACGGCGTGGCGGCCGCCTGTCTCGAGGAGCTGAGGAGCAAGGGTTGGCACGCGGCCGGCGCGGAGAAGGGGGACGGGGCGGGATGAGGTTGTCCGGCAGGGGCAAACCTAGGGATTCTTGTAGCTCGAGGGAGCATTGGGACAGAAATGACTCACATGGGTATAGCGATTTACATGTTTCAAAGCATTTATCTCGTCGTGAGACTCAATGTTAGAAGGAGGACGGGAAGCAATGCGCAGTTAAGGCAGACTCGGCTTAAGTGCCGAGAGCAGTCGGATCTTGGGCCAAACCCAGCCAAGAGTATTCCTGCCATTCGGGTTGTGGGGACCCCAGCACCACCTCAGTGAGTACTGAGGGGCCAGCCCTGGCAGGCACTTCTGCGATAAAGAGAGAGCTGCTCCCGAGCTACTGCAGAGGCCCAGACAGGAACGTGTGCTGTGAGTGACCCAGCCGACAGAAGTTCTGAGCCCCGGCGCCACACTGTTACTGGGCACTTAACCTCGTTGGTCACCATCTCTCGACCCTCAGTTTTTTCATCATTAAAGTTGTATTTACCTCCCTGTTTTACAGGAGCGTTGGAACTCTCAAAAATGATAGATTCAGATGATTTACAAGTGTTATCAGACCTTCGTTGTTTATGCAAAGAATTTCTACTGGTTAAACGTGCGAGTTACCTCTAGGCATGTAGTCACAATGTATGTCAGAGTGCTCAGTGCTTACTCTCAGTCACCAAGCCCCAGCAGATATCAGACAAATCTTTTGGAGACCCAGGAGCAGTCAAAGCACTATAAATGATTTACTGACATGGCTTGTGCCATGTATGTGTTTACGTATTTTTTTCTTGGCATTGGAGTATTTAAGTTTGAGTGTCCCTTCAGTGCATTAGCTGGGTGCAGTTGGCACAGCGGGTTGTGTAAGTGCTTAAGTTCTCTAGAGCTGTGCTAGACAAGGCTCGCTGTTGTATTTGGGTGGGTACACTACGTTGCCCAATGACATTTGTAGTCTCTGGGCTACTTCTCTACTCACTCAAGTCCCATTAGCATTTTAGGCCTTGCTGTCACTGAATGGGATGGTACAGACCTGCCCTGGATGAAGCCTCTTGCCTGGATAATAATAATGAAAAGCCAGTGATACAAACTTCTGCTTCTCTCATACTTTCCTATGGGTTAGAAATGCTGCAAAGAAAAATACTATAAAGAACAAAAAGCGTTAGATTTTTTTTTTTTTTGACGTTTGACACAGATTTTAAGATGATCACTAAGTAAATGAATGAAAGACTGCTTGTTCACAAGGAATCAAATCAGACTTTGGTTTGTTGTTCACCCAAGTAAAGATGCAAATGCCTCCCAGTGTGGATTTGGAGTAGCTGGAGGAAACACATTTGCAGGAGCCAAACTGTGGGTTTAAGTCTCAGCTCTGCCCTTTTACTAACTGTGTGACTTTGGACAAGTCACTTAACTTGGGTTTGATGTCTGTAAAATAGGAATAAGAATAATACCTGCCTCATAGGATTGTTAGGAGATTAAGTACTGTACACAAAAACTTAGAACAGTACCAGGCACATGGTATTACATCAGTACTAAAAGTTGTGATTCATATTACCTACCAGGAATTCTGCTAGGCTCTGGGGGCACAGGTATTGAGGGTGCGAAGACAGATGTAAATTCCTTATGGATACTTATCAAATGCCAAATATTGTATTCCTCTCAGCATGTGACATTCTGGCCATTGATAAGTCCCTGGCACCGGTCACCCTGGTCCTGGCAGAGGATGGCACCATAGTGGATGATGATGATTACTTCCTGTGTCTGCCTTCCAATACGAAATTTGTAGCATTGGCTGGTAATGAGAAGTGGACATACAACAATTCAGGTAAGAAACACTGGCCTTACATATAAAGTGACCTACACAATACAACACCCATTGCAATTCATTTTACTAACAGGTATCTGGGTGCCGTTTGGCTTTTAAGCATTAATGCAGCAGACGTTTACTGAGCCACTTCTGCGTGCCAGATGTGGTACTGAGTCGGGGGGTGAAGATAAATGAGGCGTGGGCCCAATATGCAAATAACTCACAAACCCACAGTAACAAAAATGCAGCGTGGCAGAGAAGTGAGTGCTGCAGCTGGAGTCGGGCTGCCTGCCATGAATCCTGACTCTGCTGTTTACTTTCCATGACACCTAACTTCTCAGCACCTTACTGAGATAACACAGTACCTGTACCCTTGCATTGTTGTAAGAATAATAGAAATAGTACATATCTGGCCAACACTAGAGCTAGAGAATTCATTGCATCGTCACAGGGTCATCCTGTGCACTCCTGGACGTTTAATGGCACCCCCAGCCTCTACCACCTAGATGCCAGTAGCACCTCCTCACCCCAACTGTGACCAACAAAAATGCCTCCACATTTTGCCCCTGGGGGACAAAATCAGTCCCAGTTGGGAACTACTGATAGAAACCATTTAGAGCTCACCTGGCACACAGTGAGGCTCAATAACTGTTATCTGTTGCTGTCATTACTGCTGGAGATAGCAAGGGGAACTGATATTGAAGAGCAAGGATTGGAGGGCTAATGAAGTGTCTTGAGGAAAGTTCCCACGCCACTAAAGTGAAGACGTCACTCATCAATGGTGGCTGTACCAACCACCTGTGCTCAGGCCCCAAGGACAGCAGACAGTGGCTACAGCTCCTCCAGTGAAGGGTGGGATCGATACCCAAGCACAGAGGAAGTGCTGTAAGAATTAAGTGTTTTCATACAAAAATGGAACACACCCAGAGACACCAAACTTCACCTAAAGGGAAGTGTGTAGGATCGTGGGTATGCATGACCTTGGGTTTAAATGGCTTCTTTCCATGAAAGAATACAGAGCAGTCCACACAGAAATAAGCTGAAGAGAGAAAATTGAGGTCCTAGGTGGGGATTGGCTGTCCCATGACTCCTTGAGAAAAGGTGCTTCCTTCACCATTGAAAGTATTCTAAATGGTCAGTCGAAAGGATTGGCAGACATCCTTGAGATTGTTGTGTTGGAGGAGGGGGTGCAAAAGGCGCTTTGAGATAATCAATGACTGGCATTTGCTCCCATGTATCAGATGGAGGTACAGCTTGGATTTCCCAGGAGTCCTTTGATGTAGATGAAACTGACAATGGGACAGGGTTGAAGTGGAAGAATGTAGCCAGGCAGCTGAAAGAAGATCTATCCAGCATCATCCTCCTATCAGAGGAAGACCTCCAAGTAAGCCTCCTC